AACGAAAAAAAAAACAAAAAATTAGTAATACGAACATATTAAAAAATGTATAATTTTAATACATTTGGTACATTTGGAGTCTTAGATCAACACAGTTCAAGGTATATTTTACCATCTCCTGTGCACTGCCAACCTTGGAGTTTTGTTTGCATACTCTTAGATCTTCTCCAGCTACCTCCAATGATATCTTTCTGCTTTGGGATGAACTCATCCTTTGGGGTGCACTCATATGCAACACCTTTAATGGGACTTTACTTCTTAGTAACATCTATCTTCAGACATCATATCTCAGGGAAATTTCCTCTCTTCTATTAATCTTGATCACTTTGAATTTTGCCCATTCCAAAGTTTACTTTGCCAGTTCCCCTTTGCTTTCACCTAATACAGATCAGCACCTCTTCACAGATGCCTTTCTCAAAGTCTGGAGGACTGGCTTGGGGGAACATCGTCTTTCAGGTTCCTGGTTTCCTCTAAAATCAGAACCTCATATCAGTATTTGAGAATCTTGGATAGTTCAGTGCGTTTGTCAAGAGTTCCTACTATAGTTCAAGTACTACTGTTTTATTTTGCATTGATAAATTTTCAGTGGTGATGTATACCTGCAACAATAAGGGAGGAACTCTCATGAGGCCCTTCCACTGTAGAAAGAGGATATAGTATCCCTCCTACCTGTTTATGCTACTACCTTTGTTCCCAACATTGGCTTTATGGATAAAATAAACCATTACCACCCTAAATGATACGTTTTTTGCATGAGCTAAAGGGTGTAAAGAGCAAAGGGGTACCCTACTGTATGTTCATAGGTTCAGTCTTTCTATAAGGCTGATATGCTCCACTTATTCTCCCTTGAGTCCAGTTCTTTGAGTCTTTCTGGTTCTGAGTTATGCTTTGACTCTGCTTGACTACATCTTTATTACGGTCTAAATTATTAACTTTCTGTCTGTAACTTAGAGGTTTATAACTTTTTCTGAATTATTTTCACTCTAACTTGTTCCAACATTCATTTTCAATGTGGGTATTCTGGCATAAAGTAGTTCAGAAATAGAACTATTTGATTTTAGGTTTACATTTTTAAAATTAAAATTAATTTTAACCAGAAACTTACACCTGAAATACTTTCTAACCGACCTCTATACAACAAGGCTAATGTGGTTTTCACCACAACCACAACTTTGATAAAATCTGAATTATGGCAGGAAAACAGAACTTATATAAGATCTCCTGATGCATGTGTAATAAGTCAGGTGAAAGGTAGGAGACTGGAGACTTATGAGTAAGTGAGGCATGCTCTGCAATTGTATAGGACATTCAGAATTTTGAATCACATGTTTTATTGACAGCATAAGAGCAACTCAACAAGGAAAGATCTACAGTATTTCAGAGTTAAGAGTATCTGTTTTAAACTCATTTTAAATGCAAAAATGTGAAATTCTTATACAAACTGAATAATGGTTATTTCTGTATTTGTTATTACCCTTAACCTTTTCCCCACAGGGACCCTTTCCTGTGCATGTCACAACCTTTTACAGAGTTATATTCAAAATTTAATTTAACCATTTTATTATCAAAGTATAAAAATAAATTTGGCATAAAAATGTAGATAATAAATCAAGTTTTGATATTATACAAGTTTTAAGTTCCAAATTTTATTAGGAAAATATTTTAAAAAAATCCTCAATCTCTCCTAGTATGAGAATGTGACATTTGCTCTCTACGTCTCTCCTCTTCTCTAATTTATTTACCATACCTCCCAGAAGTAGGGAGTTTAACATAAATTACTCAATGTAACATAGTTATTACTCAGGCAAAGCAAAATTTTATAGCCTTCAATCTTATTTGTCATGCCCACCTGATACATTCTCTCATTCCCAAATTGCCAATAGTTCTCTCTGATGTTTAATACTATACTATTTATAATCGATAGAAAGTCACAGTCTTAACTTATCCAATGATGTGTTATTTTACATTGTTTTCTGTATAGAGAATTGTCTATTTTGCTTCCAATTCAAACTTTATTCCCATAGGAAACACACTGACAAACTTAGATGAATTTTAATGGCTTTTATCGCATAGTTAGGAAGCTAGAAAGTTTATGATAGTTATAGGACATATATATTATTATATATATTATTATTCTGTGTTATTAGGTGCATTATTTAACCAAATAAAAAATATTTAGTGTAGTAGTACTATTAGTATAAAAAAGTAGACTTAAGTTTCATCAACAGTCGAAAGCCAATAAAAAGACCAAGGTAAGTACTATATTTCTTGTTTTTCATGTGTATTCTTTATTTATTACTATAAAATTACTAAAATGTAAAAATTAGAAACTTATTATGTTAGATTAGGTAAGACAATGAAATAATAATAATAAATATTTTTCATGAAGTATGCTCATGACCAGCTTGTGTGCTATGTAATTCAATATGGTAACATGAACAGCACCTTCACCAAGTGATTTACAACTATTGTGATGGGATTATTAGTTAGACATAGTTCAAAGGGCAATAAAATAAAAAAAAATTATGTATAAATAAATGTATACTGTTACAAGCTTTAAGCAACTTAGAATAAACAATTGTGGTTTTCTGTTACAATTTGCAGTCATTCCAGAAAGAAAAAAGGATAATTTAGATTTATTCCTAATTTTTTCTGCTGGTTACAAGGTTAGTCAAATCGACCTACTTCATATACATTTAAAGTACAGAAAATAACAGATAAAATATAAAGTTTTTCTGAAAAATAATTTGATATTTATTTAGGAGATTTTAGGGATAATGCAAATGAAATTTCAAAATTTTCAAAGAAAGAAAAGTATTTTTAATCTTAACATGAAAATTACTTTGCACTCGGAGCAATCAACACTCTTACTCCATATAATTAGGAAAAGGTTTTAGTAAAAATTCTGATGTTTTGTCTACAAAAGATTTTAATGTTTCCTGAAAGCTTGCCAAATTTTGTGAAGATACATTAAGTACTTTCAGAGTTACAGTATGTATACCACTATTGTTACAAGGTCGTGTAAAATACACGAGTCTGTTGCAGTAGGGTTGACAGTTAAATGGTCAACTGAATATTACTGTAAAAAATAGATGATAGAAAGGTTTTGCAGTTAATATTGTTACGACAGCGGGGGTCATGTGATGCTGGTAACACGTCATGAACTTCTAGAAGGATCCTGTCCCTTCCTGAAGTCTTGAGAGGCTACTAGATATGCGGTAGTCTTGTATATATAAGCCGCCAAGAACTGACGGCAACATTGTAATTGAACAGCGGACAGAGAGATATGTATTGTTGAGTCGAGCATGTGAGTCATTCGTTGTGAATTATAGCGTTTGTTATAGCGTGACTGTGAAAATTAAGTGTATTGCAAAGTTTTATTCAGAAAGAATAA